CAGGTTTGATCCCCAGGGCACACCCTGCCTGCCATGGAATCCAGGTGTGGTGGTACACAGCCATAATCCCAGCACTGGGGAGGCTGAGACAGGAGGATCACTATGAGTCCAGAGGGCTGCCAGGGAGTTGGCTCAGTGGAATAAGCACTTCCCTGGCAAGTACAAGGGTCTGAGATCAATCCCCGGTTCCAAAAAAAAAGCCAAAAAAACAAATCCCTGTAACTATGAGTCCAAACTGCATAGCGAGGAAGATTTTTAGTTTTTTTAATAAGGTAACAAAGGGAGGAGGGAATCTGTGGGTTAATAAAAGTCTACAAGATATATTAACTGAATAGAATGTACAGATTTTATTGGGACCCAGATTTAAAAAGAGATACAAAACAAAAATTCATTTGAACATTGGATATTTGGGGCCAGGGAGAGAGCTCAGTGGCATAAGTGCCTGCGTGAAAAGTGCAAGGTCCTGAGTTCAGTCCCCTGTACCATCAATAATAACAATAATAATAATAATATAATAATAATTTTAAATGAACATTGGATATTTGATAGTATTAGGGAATTACTATTAATTTTCCAGATATGATAACGATGATGCTATGTTCATGTTTCTAAAAGCAGACTTCATGTTTTCTGAGTACATATTAAAATATTTAAGTTTATGGAACTGTAGCTGGGATTTACTTGTAAATATTGCAATTGCAGAAGGGACACAGTAAGTCTCCATGAAGTTGGAGGGAGCCTTGTTCCATCACAGTTCATCAATGAGAACACGAACGTTCACATGGTGTCCTCCCTCCTTTAGAATACAAATCAAGTTTCCATATTACAAAGTTTAAATGGTATTTTTTATGTTTTTATTCAAAGCCTTCAATTTTGGTAACATATTCTTAAAATATAACACAAACCAATAAATATATCCCACAGCGATTGACATTACATTTAATTTGTACATGCATTCAACTAGTTCATTCAGCTAGATTATCTCAGTATTGCTTACAAGATGCAAAACAGAAGCTAGAAGTATCCTAATAGGACTGTCGGAGATACGCTTCTCCCACGTAATGGTGTACCACTCAGCCATTAAAAATAATAAAGTAAATCTATATAAGCATGCTAAATTCCAGTTTATTTATTATTAAGTAGAAATGAAAACAGGTAGAGATTCATATATTCCTAAATATTCTACGTATTTTGCAATGTGTGTGCATATATGTACAAATACAGTATATGAGTTTTGAGAAAGAGAAGAAACAAACAACACACAGTAATAGTAGTTACAGAGACTGGGGCCAGTGAGACAGCTCAGCAGTTCAAAGTGCCTGCTTAGGCAGGCGCAGGAACCACGGTTCATTCCTTGGCACCACAAGACACTCCAACCTTGCCCCCAGCATGGGAGGGGCTGAGCTGGCCATAAAAAAAAGAAGTAGTTACAGAGATTAGCAATTGCTTGTGACAGATTGCTCTCTCTTTCTTTCTTTTTTTCTTTCTTTCTTTCTGTTTTTTAATGTACTTAGTACAGGCTCTCACTACAGAGATTGGACGCGTACTGTTCCTCCTCTCTCAGCCTCCTCAGCACTGGGATTACGTGTGTGCACCACCATGCCTGATCTCAAGTGACAGATTTTTTATTGATATGTGCTCTTTCATGTCACTTGGCATATTTATTCCAAATCGACAATTTCTATATGAAACAGACTAATATAATTATTGATAAAACACTAAAATCAGGAAAAAGATATCCTGTATATGTACTTTAATTAAGCACTACACTAAAAATTCTACTTGATAAAAGAAAATAAAAATAATTTAAAAATTTTAAATGAAGGACTAGAACTGACAAATTTAATCTGTTCATACTGTTATAAATTATCTACATAGAAAACCCACAAAAACCTAAAAAGTATTAAAATTAAAAAGGATTCAAGGGTCAGCCAAATAGCTCAGTGGACTAAAGTGCCTGCTTAGGCAGAGCGCAGAGCCCAGGTTCGATCCCCAGCGTGCCATGTCAGCCCCGGCCCCGGGGCAGGCTGAGAAGATGACTGAGACTGGACGTGGTGGCCTACACCTGGAATCCCAGCACTTGGGAGGCTAAAAACAGGAGAAACACTAAAAGTCCAATCTGTGTAGTGAGATCCTGTAGACCCCGTACTAAATACATTAAAAAAAAAAAAGAATTCAGCAAGAATCCTGCATGCAAATTGAACATTAAAAATTCAGAAGCATTGTTATACATCATTAAAACCATTCATAATATAGAAGAGAAAGACTAATTTATTCACAGGAGTGACACAGGAGATTCTTAGGAAGTCAATGAAAGTTACATAAAAATCATGCTTGCAAAACAAAGAAAAATTGTAAGAAGAAACAGATATTACATCCAGGAATGGATCTGAAATTCAAAAACAATTTCTACTTGCCTCATATTCACCTGTAAATTAAGAGCAATGCAAACAAGGGTAACATGCTATCTGGCAGTATGATAAGCCAATCTGAAGATATATATAACTAAAAAGACAAAGGTAATTAAATTTTAGAAGTGTCAGGAATTGAGGGAAGGGAGCTGTAACATGCATGTAAACAAGACTCTTCATGGTCTTTGGGAAATGGGGACACAATACAGAGACAGTCAGACCATGGAACAGAATCAAGATTCTCAATAAAGACTCAGGAATATGGGAAAACGAAGGACTTGAAGGTACTGTTGCAAAGTCTGAATCTGCAGGTTTGGAGATAAAATACAAATGCAATGCAAAGGCAAGACAGTAAGGCTCCGTGCTTGTCCAACGTCTGGGAGGCCCTGGGCTCCATCCCCATCCCCTAGGATCAGTCAGTCAATTGGCACATGACACAGCCTCAGCAAATACAGAATCCAGAGGCCGATCCTATGTGGAAATGCTCAGCCAGCATGACAGGTACAGGGCTACCTTTCCATCTGGGCAGACCGACAGAGGGAGAAAGGCGACAGATGCTAGGGACTACAGGAAGAGATGGACAGAAGGAGCGGCAATCAGACTGCACTGGCAGTCAAGAGATGAGACAGCTAAGGGAACTGGGTTTGAATTCGAGGGCCTCCTCTCTCCCTGCCACCATGCCAAGAACAGGCAGGTTCATGTTCCATGATGGAATGGTGGGCTTCCTCGCTCCAGTAAGTGATCACAAGCAATGCTGTGCACACTGCGGTGGGCAGCAGAGACACTAGGCGTGCAGCCCAAGCGCAGGTCTGAGCCCCGGATGCAGGCAGCAGCACCACCCAGGCTGCACACGCCTCTGGCTCCACATGCACTGGGATCTTCCGTGTGCTACTTGGTGTCTCTGTGCCTCAGTGTCCCGGGGTCACATGTGGATAATAATAGTGCCCCCCTCGCAGGAGTAATGTGAACATTTAAAAATTTAATATGTGTAAAGCACTTAGAAAAATTCTCAGAAAACACCGAGCACTCAATAAACTGTAGCTGTTATTACTACCAGCTCTCTAGCTCAGTGCCTTCGGGCCGAGCTCTTCAAATCCCTGAGCTTCTGCTGCCTTCTTCTTAAGACAGAAGATTCCCATCTTCATAACACTGCTGTACAGTGGGCAGGAGAAAATAAAAGGAAAATCAGCTTCGGGGATTGTCAGTGTTACACCAACAGCAGTTACGGAATCATGGTATTTCAAAGAATCAAGAGCTCTTTTTTCACCCAGAAGATGATATTTATTAACTCTCTTCTGGGTTGCCTAGAACGTCACACAGCAAATGGTTCCACAAAATAAGCCACTGTTCATTCATAATAAGGAATTGAAGGAATTTTCTCTAGAAATCTAGTACATTAATCTGTGCATACAGCAGATGATTGGACAGTCATTACAGATGTCCAAACAATTTAGCCAACCTTTAGCAGAAATATGGGCACGCACGCTGCATAATGCAAATTTAAGAGTGTGTAATGCTTCCTTGTAGAGTATTATGTGCAGTGTTTATTCCCTTCTTTTTATTTTTCCTAATTATTTTTTAAATGTAGAATACTCAGGACAATTTCTTCATTTCTTTCCTTCATTTTTGGATGAAAGTTTCCCTACTGAAACTTTATCTTGGGACAGGAGAAGAAAAGAAGCGAAGGCTTCCCTCTAAAGGAGCCTGGCTGAAAGTTTTCAAAAGCAAAATTAGAAAAGAAGAATCTATGAAGGGAAATAGAGAGTTTTAAAATCAGTTTCTTAAAATGAACCCTCTTTAGCACACTTAATCCATACTCAAAGCTGGCTCTGGATTATTTAAAAAGAGCTTCTAAGGGGCCAGGGAGATGGCTCAGTGGAATAAGCGCTTCCCTGGCAAGTGCAAGGGCCTGATTTCAATCCCTGGTTCCAGAAAAAAAATAAAATAAAAAATAAAAAGAGCTTCTTTGCTCTGGAGATTAGTCAAATGTTTTATTCCTTTCACTCTTCATAACTTTCCTCATCTTGTTCAGTTGCACTAATTTTACTGAATGTAAACCCCCATTACCAAGCAAATGGTAAAAAGAGGTAATGAGAAGAAGACAGAAGTAAATCAATTTATCTTTGTATTTTCCAATAGCTATGACTAAGATTTAAGAGAAGGAAGTTATAGCTAGTAACTAAAAATGAGGGTTTGAACTTATTTGAATCAAAATTCACTTAATGAGTCATGCAATATAAATCACAGTTTAAAAACTTTCTTAAAAACACTTTTAAAAAAGAGTCTAAGCACCTGCCTGGCAAGAACAAGGACCTGGGTTCAATCCCCTGTACCACATGCTGTGCTGGCCCTGGAACCCTGAGTGCACCATACCAGCCTAGAAACTTGGCGTGGCGGTGCACACCTATAATCCCAGGGCTGGGGAGGCTGAGACAGGAGGATCACTACTGTGTAGGGAACTGCACAGAGAGACCCTGTATCATAGAAAGAAAGAACTAAAAACAAAAAGAATGAAAAACGCTGAAGAAGTCAGTTATGTTACATTTTTTTATATACAGAGATATAATTTGAATGCTAAATTCACAGAGAGCTAACACTTTGTTCTGTTGGGCTGAGAAGCACCCAGTGGCAATGCAACTGGAATTGTACAATAACAGGTTGTAAATCTCATCAGTGGCTGGAGCCCAGCCCCAGAGAAGAAGCAACGGAGAAAACCAGCCCCAGAAGTCAGCCCCAAGCAGAGATCTTGCGCTACTACGAGATGAAGGGAAGAAGCCCACAGACAGAGCCACTTGATCGGAGGTGTCCTGCTGGGCTCTTGGGAAGAGAGTCTATTTCCAGCAAGTGGTTGCCTCAATTTTCATATTTATCTGGAGAAAAAACAAAAGAGAAGAGAAAAGAGGATAAGAGACAAGAAAAAGAAAAAGAAATCTTTACTTCAGAGCACATATAAAATCAATTCTGGGTGGATTATAGGTCTACATATGGAAGATCAAACAATAAAGTGTCCAAAAAATAACATAAAGTTGGAAATAGGGGAAAAAGTAACATAGTAAGAAAACCATAGTAAGAAAAAAAGCAAAAAGTAAAATTGGACTGCATAAATATTCTGTTCAGTAAAAAGTACCATTATAGGAGCAAAAGACAACCAGAGTGTGAAAAGATTACCTCAAAATCACTGAGCTAGCAAGGGCTCATTTTCAAAGCGATCAATGAACATTTGGATGTCAAAAAAAGCAGGAAGATGGGCCAATAAAAATTTGGCAAAAAATATTTGAACGCACTCTTGGACAGGAGGAGACTCCAGTACTCACTAAGCATAAGATAAGGCTGTCAGCTTCATTAGTCAGCGGAGGGAAATGTAAATTAAATCTACGGTGAGAAACTATCCCACACCTGCCAGAATGGCTAAACCAGAAAAGATTGATAATGCCAAGTGTTGCCAAGGATTTACAGGAACAAGGGACTTCATAGCCTTTCAGTGACAGTGTAAAAGTATAAGTTAATAGGTCTACATATGGAAGATCAAACAATAAAGCATCCAAAAAATAACATAAAGCTGGAAATGGGGGGGGGGAATCCTAAACAGAACACAAGTGTGAAAAGATTACCTCAAAATCACCAAGCTAAGTTAAGTTCCAAAATCTGCTTGGTATTTTTTTTTTCTTTTTTGCAGAACCAGAGATTGAACTCAGGCCCTTTTGCTTGCCAGAGAAGCACTTATTCAACTGAGCCATCTCCCCCGGCCCCTGCTTGGTAATTCTTATATTAGGAAATGATTGCCAATATGAAAATCTGAGGCATAGGATGTCATACTGTATGATTTGCATGGATGAAAAAGAACATTTAATAACAAGGCCATGTAAATCATGGTATGACTAGTGAAATACTTCACAGTGATAAAAAGTATACTCATAAAGACTCCATAATCCATACAGAATTACCCACAAAAAGAAAACAATGCTAAAAAGGCAGCCAGACAGAAATGTACCAAAAACTTCACTATGGACAAAGAATGCTTTGATCATTTTTCACTACATGGGGAGAACAAATGGAAAAATCCTCTTCTGCTTCTCTAAATAGTAAATGCACCTCACTACACAAAACAGGCTCTTGCCCAGCAGACAGGCGACCACCTGGATAATTACTAATTGACCTACCTGCATATAACTGTGCCTTCCCAGTCCTCATCTCTTAAAAAATCCAATTTTGTTCTTTCACACCAGATAAACATGGTATACTAACAATCTACCTCAAAATTCCTTGGGAATTTGGAAATAAAAGAGAAAAAGCTCTACGTTCTTTAGTTAGCGGCTCTGGACGTGGTCAGAGAGAAGCAAGAGCAATCGTTTATTGAACATGTGCTCAGTGTTTTGCTCAGTCATATGAAAAGCTCACTAAGGAAGAAGGAACACTGTTCTGTGTTCTGTGGGGTATTTAAAGCACATGAAGCCTATTTCTACTTTCGACACAGTATGTAATCTTGTTTACTAGTTAGACCATAAGACAAAACCAAACAAAGAGATCTCAACGTCAGTGAAGTGCATGCTAATGATAATCAGAACCATCCCTCTTTGGTTAAGCTGCCTATGGGTGAACTCAAGACTAAAGATTCTTATATCTCAGACTCTGGCCATCAAAGTGCTTGGTTTAGGTTCTTTCTCGCTCAGAGGCACTAGGGTGAGGCTGGAAGAGGGTGGATGCAATGGCTCTGCATCCGGCCGAAACAGGGGCTCGCTTGTGCAGAGGCTTGCAGGCTCTCGCCAGGGGCCAATGTGGAGCTCATGCTGGGCACAGCCAGGCCCGCACTGGGCCACTGGCACTGCAGCTCCCCACGAGCCCTGATCGGGGCTGACACTTCTGCCTCCACCACTCCTTCATTCCTCTGGTTGTTTTAACAACTGTAGCACATTTTCTTGTATCGACTGCTTCTGTACCCGTCATACATACAGAGGTCTAGTTTCTTGCACTGACCTATGAGTCGAAGTTAACAGGCAACAGAATCTCCTCTCTTGGCCCATTCTGAAAATAAATTAAATCTTTCAATACAAAACATACCTTGTTCATGCTATAGCAACTCTCTCAGCTCCTTTTACAATGTTACTGTGAGCTTTCTGTCTATTAACTACCAAGAATGAGAAACACTATGATTCATATTTTAATTTTTATGCAGATTCATATTCTTTGATGAGTTATGTTTACCCACTAGGGTAACAAGGATAGATGAAGTACAGCACGATGCTCCTTGAGTTAAGGACAATTATACAACCATGGATGAATCAGCAAGGCTTTACATTAAGCTTACCCAAATCATCGTTATGAGTATATGTGAGTTTATAAGCACATAAACTTTTAAAATTATTTTCTTATCTAACTTCCCATTATAATCCTACATACACAAGGTCTAACTATAGTTCATGATAATTCTGAGCATCTACATCCATGCAGGACTCATAGAAAGTAGGATGTGAGGACAGTCCCCAGGAATGACATGCCTGACTGCTGTAGTGTGGGAGACAGAGGAACCCAAGGCCTGTATTCAACTGGAAATGGGTCCAAGTCTGGTTTTTGGGTCAGATGGTGTAAGCCTACATCATCTATCTCCTGAGCTATAAAGATGAAAGAACTAGAAAGTAACCTATGGAAAGCAAATACCACTGGGCAAATCTAAGAAGCTACCAGAACCGAATACAATCAATCTACCAGGCCATCTGCTATTTCTTTTCCAGCAGATCCCTTGGGGAAGAACTTAAGACAGCTAGAACCCCAGAAAGGTGCACTGGGATGATGAAAATTCTCTCAGCCCTCTATTGCTGGCTCACAGAACAAATAAAGAAACCCATAACACAGTGGAATTGTCTGATTTTGTTCTGTATTTCTTTCCTTTCTCATTTGTCACTCATACCCTCAATGCCAGCCAGTTCCATGCCAGGAAGGTCAGTGACCACATTCTCTCCTTGTTGTGCGGACACAATGAAGCCAGTCTCTTCTGGTTTTTCTCCTCTCTCTGCCCTTCTGACACTCAGGACCAAATAAGGAGTAAAGCCAGGAGCTCTGGAAAGGGAGTTCTTAGGAAAGAGAAAGTACCAGGTAGAATAGAGATCCAGGAGTGTGGGAAAACAACTCTAGGAAGTTGTTTATGAAGTTCAGGGATCACCAACCATGAAGGTGTAGGTTGAATTAGCATATCAAGATTCAGACAATTAACCACTAGGAAGAATGTATGCAATGTGTTGATTATTGAAACTGTCCTAACAATTTGGTTTGAAACTGTCTCATTGATATTTATTTCTCAATAAAATTATGGGAAAAAAATTTAAAAGAAAAAAAAAAAGATTCAGAGACAGGAGACTACCCGGACCTGTGGGATCCTGAATAGAACTAGAGCCCAGGCCCAGTATGAGAGTGAAATCGCCTGGGGTCTGCGGATGCTCATTCCACCCAGAGTGCAGGCCCAGCACGGAACCCTTCAGCAGAACTCCCTGCAAAGAGGCTAGAGGCAAGACCCACTCAGCTGATTCAGGAGCAGAACATCTTGCCAGAGAGACACAAAGGGTTCAACTCTAACACCTGCAGCAGAAAGAAGTGGAGCACAGCAGCCAGATCCAAACAACACCCACCTGGAAGAATCTGAACTTCGTAGATCCAGACCTGGTGCTAAGGTAATAACTCTATCTAAGTTCTACACCAAAGGTCAGAAGACAGTGGCATATAAAATGACAAAGAAAAGGAACAAAATGCAGTCTCAGGCCCCGAGTCCACCCAGTACAAATGCGCGACACTAGCACTGAGGAAACTGGAAATCACACACCAGATATCTCAGAAATAATAGCGTTGACAGTAAAGAATCAACTGCAGAAAGGTATAGAAGAAATCAGATCAGAAATAATTTCGGAACTAAAAAATTTAGTGGTAACTATAATCAAAGAAGTACTAAGTGCTTCTAAAGACTACACTGATAAAAAAAAATAGAGGAGAATATAAAAATGATGGAACCCTTGAATAAGCAATTTAGGAAAGAAATAGAATGTACGAAACAGGTTCAAAGTGATATACAGGAAATTAAAACCTCAGTCACAAGCTGGCAAAACCGTTTGAGTGAAAGTGAAAATAGACTTTCTGACTTGAAAGACACCATTGCAGCTAGTGAAAAAGTAAGAAAAGATCTCTTTAAAACAACTAGGATGCAGGAAAAAATAATTCAATACCTGCAAGACGATGCAAAGATGAGCAATGTGAGACTAATAGGCATCAATGAGAAGGAAGGAGTCAATACAAATGATATAAAAAGAATATGGGCAGAAGTAATAGCAGAAAACTTCCCAAATATGGGACAACAATCTGACATTCAGTAACCAAAGCATATAGAACTCCAAATAACATCAACCCAGTGAAAACCACACCCAGACATATAATAATCAAGATCCTAGAAATTCAGCATAGGAATAGTATATTAAAAGCCACTAAAGAAAAGAAACAGATCACATTTAAAGGAAAACCCATCAGAATAACAACAGATTTCTCTGCACAAACCATCAAGTCAAGAAGAGCATGGAGCAAAGTACTTCAAGTCTTGCAAGAAAACAAATTCCAACCCAGACTGATATACCCTGCAAATCTCTTTTTCAAGTATAATGGAGAAGTGAAATACTTCCATAACAAAGAAAAACTAAAGAATTTCATGGTGACAAAGCCAAGCCTACACAGACTATTAAATGATGTTCTAGAGAGAGGGCAAATTGATCACAGCCCCATGAATGAGAATGGAAAGAACCCACCAAATAGGGCAAACAATTAAACACAGGAGAATAAGAGGTATAAAATAGTAGTCTTTCAGTTATTCTTTTGTGTTCAGCAGCAGAATATTTCC